CTATCTCCTAGGGAGGCTACTATATATACATCAAAGCCTCGGGCTGTAGAGGTGGAGATTCCCGGCCAAGGGAGAAGAAACGCCAGCCCCGGTTCCAAGTCTACGCATACTCCCTGCTCTAACAACGCCAGCAAGGCGGGGGCGCATCGCCAAGGCAACAGGCTGAATACTGACGACATCCAGAGGCTGTATACCTTTTACAAGGACGTATACCAACCGTGTAAACAGGCCAAGTAGAGTTAACACAGGGCCTAATCTTGATAATGGCGACGAATTGAGCCGCGTGACACTGAATCGACGGCTTTTCCAGGTTGTGGTGACATGTGTGATATACGTACGTATTCCAGCGGGGCGTAAGGACGAAAATGGACGAAAATAGGAGGGTATTATATACAGAGTCGAAGCACAGACAGCACGACTACAATTAGAACATTAACCTAGATATGTTGCAATAGGCCCAGACAGGCTGGCATCACTATTGCCCATCGCGATAGGCTGGCATTGCCATCATCTACTGCGATAAGCTCAGCCAGGCTAGTATCGCTAGTATCTATTACGATAGGCTAGCATCACTATTACCCATCACAATAGGCCTAAATAGGCTGGTATCACTAGTATCTATCGCGATGTATCTAGTTAGACTAGTATTACTATCACTGATAGGACTATTATTCTAGACTATCCCTTCTATAAATATTTAAATATATAGATTTCTAATTTTACTACCTAAAAAACGTAAATTTGTATTAGTTAACATGCTATTACTATTAACCTACAGACGAAAAAGTTGGTTTTTAACACTACTAACGGAACAGACTGTACGTAAAAGCCACCCATCCCAGCCAGGTCAAGGTATATATAAAGATTAGGTAAGCTATTCACAACTATTACGTGTAGTACGATCGCCTGTTTAATATCAGGCATGCTTTTCTTTTCCTACCATCTGGTGTAAACAGTCGCTAGTCTAGGCTGGGAACTCGTGCCTGGTAAAGCGATTAAGTCTACACTAGGGAGGTATTAAGCTGGGTGCCTAGTTAATCTGTTCTAAGCGGTCTAATTAAACTACCTAACAAGGTTGATAGGTAAAATACTATTAGTCGCGAGGGTGTTAGAGTTAGTACTATTAGGACGATATAAGGTATATGTACTATTAATATTTGTAAATCTAAGTCGCGGCCGGACTAAGCTATGTAATAACTAAGGCGCATAATTAACTAGGTATCAACATTTTAGAAGAGCAATTAAAATCTAAAGAGACGTAGGAATTCTAGTTACTAATCTTGCCGATGTTATATTGTAGTTTTATAAAGCCTAGCCTAAAGTAGCTAAATAGTAATAACTGTGGTGTTGTATCTAGGGCGCTACCGTCACTACCCCCGTTAGGCTAGCTCCTTTAGTAGTAGGAGCTTACATTCCCTTTACTAATTATCTATAGCTATTATTCAGAATATAAAGATATATATAGTATACTATGGGCCTATGGCCTTTTATTGTGATTTCTAGAGCTTCTGCTGTTGCGGACTTTTACTTTGGCCGGCCGACTTTACCAGTAAATAAAAGTTAAGGGGGGCACTTTTAGCACGTGTGGCTGGTAGTGGCTCTAAAGCTGTTACAACCTTAAGGGGCTCTGGCTGATCGCCGTCGCCGACATACGGGCGCCACACTAGCATACATGCGCTACAGGGTAATTCGCACTATAGTTAAAGTGAGGTCTAAGTCTGTAGTTGCTCTGACTTATTAGGTATCTATAACCCTATTAGATTATTAAGGGTTAAGCGTACTGTGATCTTACTATATCGGGTGAACTAGTCTAGGTAGCCTATGGTGATCTAGAATAATTACATTAAATAGATATAGTAGACTGTATGAGCTGCTGTGCGAGTGGTTCGGAGTGCGGCTAATAGCGCTGAGCTAGTAATTGGACTAGAACCTCGGTTGCACGTAGGCATGCCCTGAAGTGTGCTGGCTACTGCCGTGCTTAGTATGGGAGTTGAAGATAGTATAGAGGAGTAGAAAAGTGGTTGTATTTAGCTTCTTCCTAGATTAGTTATATGAACTTAAGTGGTAGAAAAGGGAAAATATTATTGTTCTGCGAGAGACGGCTGAGCAGAGATTGGCTAAGAAGGCCCTTGAATAGGACCTGTTGAAGAACCTTGCAAGATTCGAGCAATGGCGAATGAATATAGAACGCTTCTAAGAAAAAGAAACGGCTAATGTGTTCTGTGGCTGCATCGGGAGGCCAGTGGGTGGCCAGGTCATACGATTTTAGTGCGTAACAGACGCTTAAAGCTGGGGAATAGGAGAGGATGGATTAGCGCTTTAGGGTGGTGGAATAGGTGCTTGACTTGATGGATTAGGAGTCGTAGTAGTATCTGAAATGAGGAAGAGGAAGACACTGGCTATATGTAACCTGCGTTGTGATGCCTTTATGGTATTGCTGCTGTGGTCTTGTAAAGTTTTAGTGGTGCTGTAATAATAAATAGTCTGGTCCTACTCGTCCTGACCTATTCTGTGAATGCTATTTCTTCCGCTTAGTTAGACTGTGACGTCCCTAGTTGGGCTGACATGATTTTGGATAACTTACTAGGTTTCTATAGTGTTGAAGAAGAGCTATTGATGTAGGCCTTGGAGCTTATGCTGCCTTGAGGAAGAAAAGAGGCTGCTGTGACTGTGACTGTGGACCGGCTAAGGCTGATGGGAGGAAAGGAAGTAGCGGGAATGAGAAAAGGACGGGCGATTGCGATACTTAACTGACGAGACGTTGTTGACGGCAAGCGGGGGACTTGCAGAAACGGTGACGTATATAGTAGAGCTTTGTTGAGCTCTGGCGATGGTGCTTCCTGCCCTTGTGCCGGTTTGGATATGTTGTCCTGGATGCTGTTTTGAGGAGCCACCGGGATACCGTCGCAGTTTTCTGATGGCCCCGAAGACCTAATTGTACTAGTCGTTACTGATCTCTCTATAGTAACAACTTTCTTACGCCTAGCCGATATAGAGGAGCATATCTATTCGCTTACACGGACTTAGTCTAGCTCTAGTATTGATGGTGACGTAGTGTCTTAGTCTATTAACTAGGAGTTCTATCCTCGGTAGCTAACAGGAGGCGGTGATAGACTTACGGTTCTAGCGGCTGGAGTTCTGGTAGAGGATGGCGGTGAGGGTTAGGGCGATAGGGTGACAAAGCTAGACGTGGTAGGACTCTGTGTGCTGCAAGAAGTAGCATATCTTCTGGCAGGCCTAGGTCCTTCTCTATAGGATTAAGAGTAGTCTATCTTCTGCCGGTAGGTAGCTAGACTAAGACTTAATCTTACTACTACAGCCTAAAGACTAGATAGACAGCCTTATTACTTAGGTTAAGATAGCATTAGGCGTCTTATAGTCTTATCTTTCTAGAACTATTTAAACATTAAGGAGACATTAAAAGCTACTAGAGCTTACCTAGAAGTATTTGGCCTTACTATTGATGAGGATTTGGCCTAATAAGATATGGAGCCTGTTATTGTAGCTATGATGAGGGCTCCTTAAGGAAGGCTAATATAAAGGGATAGAGATATTGATAGTAATAGTGGGGATATAACTCTCTCTACGTAGATAGATATTTAGGAACCTTATCGACCTAGGCAACTACCCATATGCCCTACATTAAGCGCCGTGCTACGCAGTGAACCTAAGAACTCCAGGGCGACAACCACGCTACCGTTATGACTAGAATAAAGTAGCAGGCGCTAATTAGAGAAAGTAAACTGCGCTGTTAAGCTAACGGACGGCTGGCGCCGTGCTGTATATCTAGGCGAGGAAGACAGTAAGGTTAATAGGGGAAAGCTGGGGGCTATTAACATGTGGTAGTAGAGGCTTTGTGATATGCGTTAAGACGTTAATAGTTTTGGGAAAGAGATTCTAAGTCGCCTAGCTAAAAAAAGAAAAGCTTGTGGAAAGCTATGCTAAGGGTGAGGATGCTTGTATAGATCAGATCTGTTTTATACGGCATCCTTAAATCTGGGGTATCATTATATACTAGGTCTTAATATTAATAGTAGTAACTAACTATATCTCTAACTTAAGGCAAAGCTTCCTTTCTATAGAGCGAGAGAAGTTAGGTGTCTAGATAGTTTATGTCTCTAATTAGGGACAAGACTGTCTAGAGGAGCGACGGAATAGTGGAGACATATTGTAGTAAATATGTCAATCCTAGTTGTCGTTAGTGCTCTAGTGTCTAAACCGTGAGGCGGGTAAGAAGGGGGGCTAGCTTAGGACGAGGTAGAGTAATATAAAGGGGGGGAAAGATGTAGGGGAAGAAGATAGAGGAGAAGGGAGAGTAAAAGGGGTTAACGTAGATGGTATGGATAGAGTCTTTCGCTAGAAATGACGCGGACAGCGTATTCAGATTTAAGCAGAAAAGTAAAGTAGAAGAGCTAAGAATTAATAGCGTCTTTGTCGTTTAGCTAGTTTGAGTGAAGCTAGGTGCGTCTTATAAGCTTTAGGCTATTACGAACGCCTAATAAAGGCGGTATAGTTTGAGTAGTGCAACTGTAGGTAGAATAGTAGGCGGTAGGAACAAGATAGGGGAGATAGACTCTCACGCAGTAGCTTCGTCTAGACTTAGATATTACTAAGGGGAGCTATAAACGCGAGGGAATACAATAGAGACTCTGTATACTACGCTATATACAAGATGTTTAGAGACTTATGCTTGTGCGGATAGAATGCACGTATAACACCATGCCAGATTCCTCACTCTATGCTTACATTCCCTTAGAGCAGCTTTTCAAACTGGACTTCGTTTACTCTACCACCCCCTTCCTGAGAAAACAAAACTCTTCCTAAAAAAGAAATAACTCTCATTTCTCTATCGTCTGCATCGATGGTGTTGTCGGGATCAGAGTTCATCCAGTCGATAATATGATTGTGAACATGACCCATGGACAACCCCTGTGTGTTATAGACTGTCACACATGGCTGTTACTACTATAAGTCTTCAGGAAAGCATTTCTTTTGGTGGTTTTTCAGGGTCAATTCATCACGCTGACATTTAATTAGAACCCCGGTCGAGGTGTACCTAGGTAGTAATTGATTTCCCACGACAGACCAGGATTACAAAACACGACTTCTCGTTCCTCCAGGCGGCTCGAAGCACTAGATACATCAATTCTGGCTCGCCTCGATCCGTGTGATGAATCTGCTCCAAACGACCGAAATGTACATGAATAAAACACAGTACCCAATGCCAGACAGTGCAGCCAACCAGTCCCACTAAGACAAGGCCAGCGGATGGTTCTCTGCCAGCGCCAAGTACGGCAGGCACGGGTTGTTGCATGCCACGGCGAGGGTGAGCCAGGGCATCAGAGGAGTGTTGGCGACCCTCCAAGGCGCCCCGATCAACTCGTCCCTGGATGGGAGAGCGAAGATAGAGGGATCGACAAGCAAGGGACTTGGCGCAACCCCGTCCAGGTGGGGGGGGGTTCCGTGGTGATTAGCATTGCAGTCCAAACGCCACGGGTTGTCGTCGTCGGCCTGCTGGCGGATGGACCCTGATTGGGTCTCATTTCCTTGTTCAACGTCCCGTAGGTTGTCGGCCCCGTCGGGCAGACTGTCGTTCCCATCTGTCTGGTTGGGTTCCGTCCAAGATGCGTCGGGCGACGAAGGCATCGTCTGCATCTCCAAGTCAACCTGGCCAACCCGGACCGACGTTAGCTAGCCTACCTGACCTGACCTGACCTGACCTGACCTGACCTGACCTGACCTGACCTGACCTGACCTGACCTGACCTGACCTGACCTGATGAACTGCCGAAAGCCGAGAGAGCTCTCTGCTCTTCGTTCTCTGGAGGTTCTCTTACATTTTGGTGCTGAGACGATGACATGTCTCGATAAGAGGAAACCGATGTCTCGTCAGGTTATGCCAGTGCTAGCTAGCCTGTGCTGGGTCGTGCTGGGTTGTGGTAGGTCGTGGCAAAGCAAGGTGGTGCACAAGAAGGAGGCATGGGTGTCGGGTGTGTTGAGAGAGCAAGGCTTTAACTAGAGAGAGAGAGAGGGAGAGCTTGTCGGAGATGATCGACTTCTCATGGCGGGTGATGCTTCGCTCAATCAAGCCACGTCATGGTCTTGGTAGCCTGGCTCATGGTGTGATGAAGATGGCAGCCAGCAGCTGTGGGCCAGGCAGAAATGCATCATGTTTACCTTTTGTTGCTTTATTCCCCTGCCTGCATTGTCTTAACATGTTCTTTTAACACTCTCTCTCACCTCTCTGCGTTTCTGATGCTGCTTGTGGTTAGTAAGCATTCTTACACAACCACCAGGTAAAGAATCCAGACAGCACATCCAAGTTACATAATCAGCTGACAATAGTCACCTGACACACGGAACGTACTTCTCCCACCCTCCTCCTTCCTTCTGCCACATCCTTTTCTCTTATTCACTTCAACATGCAGCAAAGAAAAAAGAAAACAAACAAACAAAAAAAGAAGAAGAAGAAAAAAACAGACAAACCATCAACCCTTTCTCTGCCGATTGGAACTCTTCTCCCCATCATCTATTCCCTCTGAGAAGATATTCTTTTCCCATCGCCGTCATTGAAGCGTCAACATGGGCGAAGAAGTATCCACCAAAGAGCTTGCGGCCTCCGTCTTCAGCCAGTCACGCCTCATGTCCACTCGTCTGTCTGTCCGAGAAGGACAGGAAAGCAACAAATTGTTCTTGCATCAGTTGGACAAGGATGACGACAACGACGACAACGACGACAACGACAACAACAGCCTTTACTCTGACACTGACGAGCTTTTTCAACAGCTGAAGCACACCTTCCCGACCGAGAATGACTCTGTCATGACTGTACGCTGCTGGATCGCCTCTCTCATGTCACGCCGCGGCCTGTGCCCTGGTCCAAAGTTTATGCTCCCGTGGACCGGCCGCGAGTTGCACCACCCATCACTGGACTTTGCCTACGTAGTCAAGGTATTCAAGTTCTACGGCGTGGACGACGTGAGCGTCAAGTTCCTTGTCAAGGATCTTGTAAAGTGCCGCGAGGTAACAGCTTGCCCCCTCCCCCTCCTTTTGCTCCCTCCCTCCCATTCATTCCCTTATTCCTTCCTTGCCTGATCAGACAAGTCGTTTGTTTTCTGACAGCCGTGGCACGGCAGGAGTATCAGCGTCGACGCCGTCAGGCCCTAGAGCAGGGCCTCCGCTGGCCTCCGGCCCCCGATGCCGACGCCACTTGCTTGCTGTCGCGCCGTGCCGTCGTCATGGCCATTACCGTTTTCTTGCTTGTGGCCATCCTCACCTACCTTTGCGGAACCTCTCTCCTACAACGTGGACGGCTTCTGGAGGGATAGCAGATGTTGGTTGATATTGGACAGCATTCTGAATCCAAAGTTCAAGATGAAGGCACAGGAGGGAATTTGCGCAGCTGGGTGAACAAACCCTCGCAAACACAAAAAAGGCTGACAAAGAGCAGGAGGATTTTCCTTTGGCAAGCTTGGCGACCATGGCGACCAAGAAGCAAACCCGGAAACGCTTAGGGTTTATGGACAGAGGGCGGCGTATCTTTCAAAGGGTCCTAAGAGAAACAAAACAGACAACCGTCGTCTGTTTGAACAAAGACATTGAGCCACCATTTGCTTGTTTAGACAGGCGGACCATTTCCCTGCGGCCAATCAATTTCCAGCAAGCAGATCCAGAGGTACAAAGACCTTGTCGTGACTGCTGTTTCCCAAGATCAATGTTTGTCGTCAGTTGGTGTTGTTATTATGGGGGGCCTGCCCGCCTGCCTTAATCGTTGCGCTGTGGCGGGCGTGTGGCGCCGTGGGAGCCCCAATTTTGGGCCCCGCCTCGTGGGCCCCCGGGCCACCTCTTGGGCTCCCACTTGGAGTGTGGCGGGGGTGCAGGTACCTAGGTCCTCATCGAACGGGGGGAGTTACTAGCTAGGTAACCGCTTTCCTATCTAGGACATCTTCTTTTATACGATTAGTGTTGTTGACTGGTTTGTCTCACTCATCTTGACCTTCAAGAGATTCATCTCGTCATAGCATAAATAATCTCACACTATCTCTATAGACTAACTTAGTTATTTAATTAGTTTCTTACGTACCGTCCGCCTAGCACCTGAATCACAGGCGACGAAGACGCAGGTCTCGCGCCCCGCCCTGAGCCCGCCCAACACAGGCAACGCCCTCAGGTGCGCAGCCGTCCATTTCCACAATATACGAGTTTACTGCCATCCCTGGGGGGGGGGGGGGGGGTGGCTGACTGAGTGAGACTGCTCGATGGAAGGGCCGAAGTTGGCCACGTCTCGTGGCACAGCAGGAAAAGACAGGAAAGCGAGACCCCTCATTGTTCCCTTCCTGTCTTGGTCAAATTGCGCTTTGGGAAGGCAGGAAGGCAGGAAGGAAGGCACCAAGCAAGTTCCTTGCTTTTGCTTCTGCCTCGCGCTGCTGCTGGGAAGAAACAAACCAAAACATCTTCTTCATTCAACTGGCTCATCGCATGAATCCTGCCAGCTGTCGTTCGAAAGCCAAGCTTTGCTTGCGCACGTCGACATCGTCTCCTTTGATCAACAGAAATATGTCTGTCGCCACATGCAGCACAAAGCTGCAAGAAGCTGGCCCATCGACCAAACCTGGTTCGAAGCAGCCTGTTGCCCAAGTGACTCCTTTCATCTGACAAGCTACGCGATCTCGCCTCGCTGGCTTCTACTTAACGCAAATGTCATGCAGTAACACTCTCCGCCTAGTCGTATTGATACATACTAACCGTTCCCTCCCTTTAGTCATCCACTCGACGTCTGTAAACAACTTCATGAGCTTTGCACCCCGAACCTTTCCCTGTTCGCCACGAAGTCTCATGTCTGATTCTGTCAACAAACGACGATCCAAAGAGGAACGCTGCTCCGCATCGAGCCAGGTAGTCTTCTCTCACTACCTCGTCTTGGTGTCTCCCTCCCGCGGTCCTGGATAAGCCCGCCGAATATGGGACATTGATGTGAGTGAATAGTCCCGGTGCCTGTTCCCAGGCCATGACGCAATTGCTCGTATTCACAGGTCTTGGCTGATGCTGATTGTTTCGCTCAGGTCGTCCTGACGATATAAACGCCCGCTACCACGGCCTCGAGTTCAGCACCATCCAAAAGGACGCCCCGCCGGCCAGAGACAGCGTCGACCCCCCAAGAAGGAAATTACAGGCAATGCAGCAACTGAACGTGATGTTGCATGGCGAACATGCCAAGAACATGGCACTGCTGGCGAAGCTACGGGGGGTTATTTACGCAAAACCCCCCGCCGCAGCGGGTTTTACGTATCGTGATATTACATAAGTACTGGATGAACTGCACTAGACCGCTTATGGGGGTTGTTAGCGGTAAGTCCGCCGGCTCGTGGGCTTCGCTGGGGGAGGTCAAGGTCGAAGTGGCAGACGACAGGGCGCCATTCCAGTTCTTGCAGGAGAAGGGCGACCTCACGGAGGGAGGACTCCGAGACCCCCCTGGCGACGATGACGGCGTTCAACATGTCGCAGCTACCGGGGTTACGGGCACAATCGACCTCTCTAAGGAGCATCATGCCCGATCTGAAGAACCCGTCCAACGTCGAGGACGGGCCGCAGAAGAAGAGGACCGCAAAGATATCGAGACATGGTTGTTATTGTTCCAGAGTGTTGGCGCATGGTTATAAATCACGGATAGACACTGTGCTTATGGCGTTAAGGAGGGCAATCCAAATGAGGGTGTTTGTTCTCTTGACCTTGTTCCCGCTCTTCTTGTCTTTTGCTGACCTGGGGCTGCGGGGGCGACGTCCGTGTCTCCCATACCATACCATGGTTATATCGCTTATGATTTAATGTGGCGAGAGGAAGAGAGATCGTGCTCACAGCTCTGCGATTCCCATTTACGTTCTTGAGGGTGTCTACAGTACTAGTTTAGTAGGGTGGGGCGATCGGGGATTATATTAAGCCGATGGACGATAGGTTTAGCTGAAAGTTGCCCGATCAGGGGAAGATAAAAGGGGCGATAGACAGATCGATGGAGCGACAACTAATCCTCACTTTCTTCACACATACCTACCTTTTCTTGTACTATACAACAAGTCTTTCTAATAATTTCTTTCGAACCATGATAACACAAGAAATCTAGGAGATCTCTACCCTTCTGATCGGCGAGATCTTTACCTCGATCGAGGGGCTTTCTTCCATCGATCAAGGGGACTTCTTGGACTGATCAGAGGAAGCATCTTGTGTTGCTTGTGTAGGTTGTGGTGTTTCTCTCTAGGTCACCGTACCGCATGATTCCTCTCTTACCCTACACGTCTTCACTAGGTCAAGAGTTTGGCCAAATCCATATGCAATATGGCTACTAAGTTTTACCTCGTGGCATCAAGACAGGCCAACAAGTTGATCCGGACTGTGACTGTGGGAGCTGCTGATTGATTCGTGCTTTTGTTTTAGTGTGACCAGACTCTTGACTAGGGAGGTACTCTATTTAGCACTCATTATCTCAGGTAAGCCGCTATCAATTAGCACGTCACCATCACTATTGATTTACCACTTCCACTTCCCATTACTCTTACAACCTTGGGCAATTTTCGTCGGCTAGACTCCGTCGCCGCAATGTCCGCAGGCGGTTAAGAGCCTCTCTCTCGGACCCACGTAGCAACAGCCTCGTTACTTCCGTGCCCTGGTATGCCCTCCCTTTGTTGTCCATGACCACTCCATCCATCCATGCGTGCCTGCGACTGCATCAACCAAGACACTGTGTGCTTAGCAGCACCTCAGCCAGAATCATCCCCAGTTACGACAACATGCCGCGAAACAAGGTTGACTGACCCCTCGCCCTCGAGCCATACAACAATCCCGTAGACGGCGTCCAGGCTCCGCAGCCTTGGTCACTGCCGGCGCACTGCCATCTCCGTCGCCATCGTCACAAACCAACCAACGATTCACTTCACGTGGCGGGACCCAGACACGCGCCGCGGCGGCTGGTGACTTACGAGGCTGGGTACCAAGTCTGTCATACCTTCCTGTTGCATATGGCGGGGCTGTTCTAGAAGTAACAGCACGAAGTAGGTACACGCAAGGAAGGTACCCAGATACCTCCTACGACCGCCCAGTATGAGGTACCTACCACAATCACCGTGGCCCGGCACCAGGTAATTGATTATACAAGTCCGGGCCTGCTATCTTTCATCAGCAGCGAACCCCCGGGATCCTTCCTACTTCGTATTCCCGACCGTGACTACGATTGATACAAACGCAGCAAACGCTTCTCGTCCATCGATCCCCATCTCTCCTCCGTCGCTCACCCAACCTCTGCTGACCGTCCTGTCTACCGATTCCTTTGCCGTCAATACCTTTCTTCCCGCTGTCTCAGTCCACAAGTAGACGCAGCCTTCACTTTCGTTTGTAACATTGCCTTACGCCTCGATAACTATCATGCAATGACGACGGGGGCAATTGCCCAAGCTCGTTGGTTTTCATCCCGTTGCAGATGAGAGTGGTCACCAAGATGATTATGGATTCGCGACATCCCCATCGACTCACTCGCAGCTTAATTCGTCTTGGACACGGTTAAGCAAGGTCGCATCACATCTTTTCCGGCCCTACTCGCGAACACTCCTCCTTGGTTGCGTTTGCAACTCCGTATCTCCACCACCGTTTGATCTTCTTTGACTGTTCCAAACCGCGCTGTGAGACAGTTGCCATTGCCGAATCGTGATGCAACTACTTGGCGGTAATGGATTACGGTAATATACGTCGTTATATTAGTAGTTCCCGAAATACGTTTCGGGGCGTGGGGTGAGTGAGTTGATCGCTGGGAGGACCTTAATATTTGCTTGATTAGCTGTTGGTTGTGGTGGAAGCTATGCTTATAGGAACAAAACTTATAGTATAGGAGGTACAGAGTCCAGCGTAGCCAAGTAAACGCAAAACCTCTTGCATCGAAAGCAGCCGCTCTGTTTTGGGCATGAAGAAAGCAGGCCAGCAAACATTGCTGACGCAGAACAATGACGTTGCTGGTTAAAGATGAAAGAGCCTTTCCCACGTAGGTACCTAGCTTGGGTACCTAGGTCCCTAGGTGGGTACCTAATTGGTTAGCGCCGCTTGCCAGTGGTATGAGAGGGATTACGTGTAGGTACCGTACCAATTACCTGCCTACGGAACCGCAACAGTGGTTTCAGCACAGCAAGACAGTAGTAATTACCACTTACCTACCTAGGTACCTAGGCATCTACCTACCTAGCTTACAGCGACAGTGATATGCGGAGGAGCGTCATGACATAATCAGGTACTCTCCACTCCGTACTCATTCAAAAGTCTTGCTACAACGAAAAAGTTGATCCAATGAGTAGCTGATACTACTTTTAGTGGGGTTCTTTTATTGGCCCATCATGGTGCCAAAAGGGGATATCCTTGTTGCTGTAATAGGACTTTCGACCCAATACTGCTGTATCTAGGTAGCCTCTCCGAGCTACACCTAAATACATACCACGCTTCCTTCACCCCCGCCTTTCCTCCCGGTTCAATCCACAGCCACACTCGCTCCGCCATACACAGAATCGACGCAAAATACGATACGTCGCAGCCGTCGCCGCCTTGCTATCTGACAAGTTCAGGCCAAAGTTAAGGTTTGTTTTTGCTGCTGAGTTTATTCATCCGCAGTCTTCCGTGTCGAACCTCGGACAGTCATATTCTTCTTCGTGGAGTGATGTCCAACCTAACAACTGTCCCAGTTCTATCTGACCATCCTGAGCGACTTCGAAAACAAATCGCACCTCCTCGTCTACACTGCCGTAATCACCGAAGAACCTTTGTCCACGGGATCTCCTACCCGAGCGTTCTATATCTTTACTGACTCCGCCGCCTGCAGACAACACCCGGCATTCCAGCAGCGTCTGGCAAGCCGCTCGCGTCAATTCGAAAGAAAAGAAAAACCGTGTCTCCCTCCTTTGACACGCCACGAGAGCAGCCCCAATACCGTTAGCTTTTTTATCACACCTCGACTAACTTCGTCAACATCCTCTCTTGCGAACCAAACACGGCCAAAACCTGCAGACTTTTCTGTCTGCATGAGTGCCGCGATGGCAGGCAGGGCTTGGTCTACCCTCCGTCCACGTTGATTTCGCGCCTGATGAGATGGAGACGTGGTGCAAACAAGGATCTGGGAACTCGGCGGCGTAATAAACAATACCATCATTTATTTCCCTGCTTGCTGGGTCTGGTTGCTCTATCCGTGGTGATAACAAACCGTTGCGAAAACGAATCAGAACATAGGACAGCAGACAAGGGAGGGGGGGGGAGGCAGCACAGGTGACGCACACTGCTGGTCTCCCTCAGTCCGCCCGCCCTAGTCACGGTCGGGTGCATCATGAGCGTTCGCAGGCATAACGGCTGAGTCCCTGCGTCGTCGTCGTCGTCCTCGTCGTCCTCGTCGTCGTTATTTGGTGGCGAACCGGGGCGCAGTGGAATCTTTGAGTTACCTGCCTAGTAGTCTGCTATGTTGACCAGTTGCAAGCCACGAAAAATATGTGTATGCGTCAGTTGGCAGAAATCGCGAGACCACTTGTTCTATGTCTCCTATTGCTTCTTCTACCCTACTAATACTGGCCTATAGGGGCCAGAATAACGAAGGCCATCTTTTCCATCACCGCTGCTGTCCATCATCGCTGCTGTTCTCGGGTCTGCTGTTCTCCCCCATCTCTTTTACTCTGCGACGTCGCACGCTGTTGCTGATACCAATCCAAAAACAGCTGTCGTCCCGTCGCATCAAGCTTGACACTCCCATGCTGTCTGCCTCCTAGCTGCGCCCTCACATGACTCAAGTCATGCAAATACGTCAGCCTCTGGCTGGTTTCTCCCTTCACCTCGCCATCTGTCCAGCGAGCTTGCTTGCCGTCGATTATATCCCTGTCCTTTTCCCTACGGCCACCTGTGCCTAGCTCAGCAGCGTGAGCCCTAGTGCTGCTGTAGTGCTGGTTGAATGGCTGAGGTTGAACGACTGGCTGGACGATTGATGAGACGGCCACCTCGTTGACTGGATGGACGGCTATCTGGGCACCTTTTTCCTAGGTGCGCGGATCAACAGCAGGGTAGCCATTAGCCGCCGATGGGGTGTCGCTGACGGCATGCGGCGCTCTCGGAACCGCATCAGGGTGCTCCTCGTCGTATTTCTCTCGCCATTTCTTGAGGTTGGTCTTAAGCCACGTTACAAAAAGCCCCTTGTTGGTTTCCCATGTCGTGAGCCACTTCGTATCGTCCTGTGTTGTATCACCTTCACTCCAGCCAAGGTGCTCCAAGAGTACTTAACCGGGGTCTCATTCCTTCAAAAGATCATCAAAGGTTTCGTACTTTGTGCAGTTTGTTGATTCAAACTGATGGTTAAATCGCCAGATTTGCCGCGCACATAGCCTGTGGTCTACCCTAGACGACGAGGCTCCATCCATAGCTTGCTGCTGTTCCTTGTGGCGTTTGGCTAGCTGATTAATATCACCTAAAGGCATACTTTTTAGGTATAGTCTTTTGGTAGTAGGGTCTGATAGTGATAGTCATCTACTCACTGATTTTCGCCGTTACAACTCGTGTCGTTAATCTCCAAGGGCCGTGGTCGCTCATGAGATTGTTGCTGTCATGGTGCTTAGGTGATGGTGGCAAGGATGGGAAGCCAGCCATCTTATGCTCAAGAGGAGCAAAGGAAGAGAGTGAGAAGGTGTCTCAACATGTCCTGATGACTCATCTTGCCGACTGTTGCAGCGGAGCCCGGACCCGCTCAATACGAGCCCTTGAGACAAACGGGAGAGGCCAGTACAAACTAAACGGAAAGGCCGAGAGACAACAGAACATGGCCCACAGGGTTTGAGACAGAGACCATTCTGCTTGGCCCCAGATGGAAAACGAGATGATTGGCCAGGCGTGTGAGGGCTTGGCGACAATAATCTCCCTCATCCAGCGGTTTCCGGACCCTTTATTATGCTGTGCTTTTGATGCCCTCCTGTGATGTTCACGCATACTTTGTCAGGGGGACGACCCGTGTATCTACCATCATACTCCAAGGATGATATCTAGATAGCTGCCCAGTCGCAAAGCTGTGAGCTCCGATGTATTACTGAACTGCAAGCCCGCTGTGAACAAGCCCCATAGCTTTTCTTGATTAAGCCACCTCATCCGCCGACTGTTCAATGCACGACCATGGAATAATAACTCAGTCCCCAAGTTTTCTTCCCAGCAGGTAAGACTTGCTTGCTAAGATAGGTTCATGAGAGATTGATTATGCGGCGTTCGATGCAACTGCCACGATGCACCTCTGTATTGTTTGTGTGTCCCAAGACAGCCGGCCCTCTATCCGTACCTACATTAACCAAGATATCACATGGCAATCAGTACCTCGGCTAGAATCATCCCTGGCTACCGCATTGACAATATACCCAGGAAGAAGGTAGACTACGTGCTCACCCTCAAGCCACGAAACAATCCAGTAGACAGCATTCAGGCCGAATCAACCTTGCTGGGGCTCAGGCGTACATGGCACGACGCTGCGGCCAACCACACCGACTTTATCCCAATCGCCAGCCGCCCCGTTGCCGCTAGCATCAAGACGAAACGTGATGACGGCCACACGCAGAAGGCTGCACTACAAATAGGCATTTGGCAGACAGGACAGTGGAAGTTTCTTCTCAACAAGGCCAGACCAGATGCTCTTAAGAAATTGTCCTTTCTCCCAGGCATAGTCGTCCATGGTCATAGGTGGTGTTTCGTGGCGACCACGTACACAAATAGCAAGACAGTAAGAGACTCACTAGTCAAGAAGCATCTATACCTACTTAGCAGTTTCTCTGACTTTTTTTGTAACAGACCCTTTGGACCAAGACCAAGTTTAGGAAGATATCGACGCCATTAGGCACCCTCCAGGCCATCAAGGGTCTTCGCGAGATCAACGCATAGGCAGCAAATGTCTTCTGGCCGTGGTATAAGACGCATGTACTAAAGATGCCTATCGTCGCACCATCACAGACCTAGGACTGCCAAGGCAAGTCCAATTCATGTATAGATACAAACCATTCCTGATGCTTTGTGTTACAGTAATACAGACTAACAGGCGCACACCACACAGTAGCAGTGTACGTGGAAGCAACTAGTGCTGCATCCCGGGGCACAAACTTCACAGTCGCAGAGACATCAGGCAGAGAAGGACAGACAGAAAATAACAGTAGATACTGGTGCTCTGATGCGTATTCGGGTTTAAGTGTGGGTATTACGTGACATTATTGTTGATGATAAAGCTGCTGACGCAAGAAATAGATATCCCTAGCTAAATTAGGTATACGTACTGCGGTGCCTACCTTGTTTAGATCTGTTGTGGGGAACTGTCGGAGGTTTTTCCGCTACAGTTCCCCACTGTATCTACCTGTATGCGGTACGTACCTGCACCACTTCACGTGTCAAAGTGAGCCAGTTGGAATACGCTCGGGCCCGCGACAGCGAAATGTCATTAGATGGAAAAGAGCATGTGGGCCGCTAGGCCGCATCTGGCATTACCGCCGGAACAATGTCGGTAACATTTCTAAGATAGATAGCCCCAGCCAAATTAGGCGATTCCGAAAATACGTACATCGTAGAAAAGTACAAGCTTGCTTGAGCCACACTGATCTTCGGAGTGGGCCACACCACACCAGGCAAGCCCACACAGTGTAGGTAGTGGGCATAGGTAGTTGGTCCTCCACTACCCACTCCATCACAGGCAACGGCTACCGGTAGCTCACCCTGATCGGCTGCACCATCTTCATTCCGTCCGACTTCGCAAAGCCGCATCTTTCTTCCAGCCCAGGGAAACAGATCATCTCGGCCTTCCGCGATCCCCTCAACCGAAGCCAGAATTCTCTACACCCAGAACCACCACCCAGAAGTCTAAACGTCTGCTTGCACTTCCTCTTCCCACGCAAACAACCTCGCCCACCCCCCCGTAATCCTGCTCTCAAATCCATCTTTTTTATGATACCCTTAGCTCTCCGCCATCCCAAGAGGTTCTGTACCCACTCCGCCGAACGCGTCTTCACATTGGCACTCGGCACTGCACATGCATTGTGCGATTGATCGTATGTAGGTATCTTTCCCCCTTCCACGTCGGTTTGTGTCTGCCTGCCTGCTTGACATCGACGGCCGTCATGTCATGTATGATCCGATTTGACAGGATTCCTACGAGGGGGTGATTAGAAACCATGACTGCGACCTTGTAGTCTCCCATCTCTCCAGGTCATCCTCGCCAGCTCACTTTTTCCACGCTTTGTTGCTATCCATTTGCATCATTGCAGACGGCGCGCAAGGTGGCTCGCTCTCGGGCGCACCTCGAGGCAAAGCTGGGATCCTGATGCTCTGTATCACAGGGATGCATTGCACTGTCCACGGTCAGGATGCTGGGAGAAGCTGAGGTGGGGTGAGGTGGGGCTTTTGATTTGAGAAAGCACGTGGCTTCTGAGATGAGGCACGTATGCACGCGCGTGCGTACCTTTTTCAGTGCGTACCTTTTTCAGTGGGCAGCTTTTTCAGTGGGCAGCTTTTCAGTGGGCAGCTTTTCAGTGGGCAGCTTTTCTAAGTAGAAGTTCCCAGGTACCTATATATACATACTACCTAGGTAGGTAATAATGACGTGACGTGACGTGACACGACGCGACGTGACGAAGCCCTCTGCAGTACATACCTGCCTAAGAACGCGGGTCAGTGACCAACTATCAACTGCGGCGCGCAACGACAGGGCCCCTTTGCGAATTGCTTGTTTGTGTTGTGAATATCCATGGTTTAACCTTTGTATCGCTACCCGTTTCCCCCCTACTTCATGCGCCAAGCGGCAGTACTTCTTGTCCGCTAATTGTGGCCTGTTCCGAGCACGCGCACAGTCGACGCTCCTCTCCCCGACTCCAACACAGCGATGCGCGGCGCCGCCCGTCCTTGTATCGCTCGTCCTCCAGCCTGGTACATACATTGCATTGCATCGCAGGCATGAAGTCATGTCATCATTGACCGGCCACGACGATGACCAAGGGATCATGATAACCGGTGACAGTATCATCTGCCCTGTGACCTCCCCGGACGGCATCATCATTCTCAAGTTGCGCATCTCCCGTTCAGCACATCATCGCCCCAACCAACTCTGTCAGACCTCTTGATCCCTCGGGCCAATGCCGGTCGACAAGCAGACGGGGGGCTGCTGGGCATCTCGTGCACCCAAGCCTTGAGAATACCATCAAAGATCACCCACCACCACACGGCCGCCGACTTGCTTATGCAGTCTCGACGGGCATTCATGTCGTGATTGCAGCCTGGCCATCTGGGCTCCCGCCATGACTTGGGTCTCTCCATTGGGTTGACCGGTATTTTCCTTCTTGACGTGACCAAGATGCCGTCAGTCACGTACGCAAAAACATTGGTACCGGGGCCTCCTCTCACTCCACCCAACCAGCCGAGGCGGTTGATCGCGACAATAACAACATGATTGAGAAGGGGGCTAGTAACACTGTGTCTTGACGTCTTCATCCCTGTTGCATGCGGTCGCGTTGCGTAAGGCGTCCACGGAAGGTGCTCTCAAGCACCTTTCATCACACGTCGACGTACTTACCCGTTGCAACACCAACGATCAACAACACTTTCGTGCCATCTTCACATCTTCACATCTCCCCCCATCTTCTCTTCTCCCCTCTTGACCCTCCAACATAGACCCCACGAACCCATCCGATCACACGCACGCGGCGATGCACTCGTCTTGATTCATGACCAACTTGCGTCCGAAAGCTTTGGTAAGCACTGAAACAAAAAACCCTCTTGATCCCCATTTGCTCGCAGCACCTTTTAGCGGACAAGGTTGTCGCTAACCACCCACCACATTGAATCACGTCACAGACCAAGAATCTTTATTCCGAAATCTTCGATCTCGATACTACTTAAGAGGACATATAGTTAGACGCCCCACCTACCAGCGGTAGAACAAGTCGCACCTAGTCCTGTATCCGACGCCTGGTCTCCCAAGCGACAAGAGAACCCTCGCCCCAAGTTGAGATGTCGCTAGCGGGTTCCCTCGAGATTCAGCTCCCGCGCGTCAAGGCAGCCACAAGCATCCTGGCGGAAAAGTTGAAGAGCAGGGGGAAACGGGCCGACTTGTACAACCTCCATTCTGAGACACTGAGTCAACATTGGGGATCTCTGGATAAGGCTTTTCCCATCCAGTTCCGCCCAATTCGATCAAGAGGTCAACTGAGATTAGGGACCATCATTGTTTCTCGGCTATATCAAGTGACCCTGCTTGCGCTTTCCAAAACCATCGCGCTGCCTGATCTTTGGAAACCTGGAGGGTGGCTCTTCGATGCTGCATCTGAGGTAAACCCTGACAACTCTATCCTGACAGAAGAGGCCAGTCGCTCTCTACACGCCAAACTCGGCCTCGGCGGTCGGAAATTGCGAGCAGTCTCCCATAGCCCTGATCTTGCATCAGCCGCCAATGCCCCATCCATTATCGACACACCCATGTCTCCAAGCCCTGAACAAGACGGGGAGGATACGCGCTCGCCAGAACCTCATCGAAACACACAAGTTGAACGCAGCTTCTCCGAAGAAGCCGACTTGCTTATCCTCGGCTTCTCTGCGGGGATGATGACCAAGGTCTCGAGCAAGGGCAAGACCAAAGTCTTGACGACGGCTTCGATTTCGAACAATACTATGGTCCCGCGCTGCACCAGTCTGCTACGCCAAGCCCTCCTCCTCATCCCGAGCCTCTTGCCCAGCCACCCACACCCGAGGTTGTTAAGAAAGCTCACCAGCAGATAACCGAACACGAGTGGCTGGACAACCAAGCGATCGGGGCCCTCATCTATCTTGTCAACCAATCCAGCCAGGTCCGCTTTTCTAAAGATCGTATCTTTTTTGGCGACAGCCTCTGGGTCTCCCTGGAGAACAACGACGTTCCGGAGTGGCTGGCCAAATACACTGCAGCAGTCAGAGCATCCCAGCTTCTTGTCTTCCCCTGCTACTCAAAGAAGCACTCTCACTGGTCACTCGCTGTTGTTCACTTGCGTGACGGCATGGCAGAGCGTGCTACTCACTACGATCCCCTACCCAACCTGTGCAGCAGCGACTTGGTGAAGCAGCGCCTGACAGTCACGCTCAAGGCCCTTGGGCTGCTGTTATCTTCGGCCCCTGCCACGTCACAGGCGCTCAGTGTCGTGTTTGAGAAAGGGGTACGTTTGGACAATCTCGTTGCCCTGAATGCTTGTCAATGTAATACTGACCGTGTTTAACACAGGCGTGCGCAACACAGCGCGACGGATTCACCTGCGGATACCACCTCCTGTAGAACTTGAGGGAGATTCTCCACGGTCGCGAACCAGGCCTCAGCCGACCCCACTGTCCAAGACATGACCACAACCTACCTAGACCTCCTCTCGGTCTATCATCGCGACTGCTCCCTGCACGTAAGCCAACCAGACCTCTGTGTCCTTGAAGCGCCAGGCCTCACCACAGTCACCACGTAGCCCCAAGGTGAAAAAGCTCGGTAAGCTTTCTCTTTTGACCATGTGCCCTTTGAACCCGTCTAATGCCGTTTTAGAGTCTAGTTTAGTCTTGGACCGTCACCTACCAGTATTTCCCCAGCGGCTTGTTACGTCTGCTCAGGCAAATCGCTGCGAACCCGCAGTACCTTCCAATGCCATGGATCCCACAATAGTAGATGTGGCAGCACTATTCCACCGCGCCAGGGAGATTGAGCAGGAGAAGGACGCCGGGGCTGCAGCAGAAGCACTCGCACAACATCAGGCGCTGATAGCCCGGCTCGAGGAGGCTCTTCCAGTGGCGACAACAACTTTGCACAACGCTGTCTAGAAGAACAAGGCTGCGCTTGTGAAATTTGCTCTCGATGAGGCTAGCATGATTTCTCAGGCAGAGCCAGCAACCTCAGCAGCCCCAAATGCCAACTGGTCAAGGTTTGTAGAGCAGGCCAACATGGCTCGCATGGGTGTTGGGTCCAACAAGGAGGAGGGTAGCCCCCTGCCGTCTCTCACAGAGGCCAAGGAGATGGTCAGGAACGCGCAGACGCACTGTGCCGCTGTCAAGAACCAGCTGGTGGATGCGAACAACAGACTGAGAGGTTTGGTGAAGGAGGCCAAGAAGCAGGAGACGCTCCGGGCCTTGGGTCCAAGCTTTGCGGTGTTGGGAGCACTGGAGAAGGACGATTCTCAACACCTTTCTCCGTGCCGTTTCATCTTTTTCTATTATTTCCTGGTGGACGTGGAACAAAACACAAGTAGATACTAGGCTTTCCCCTAAGAGCTATCAGTTACGTAAACCCGATATAACAATATCTTGCTTGAAATGGGATTTCTGATGCTTGCAAGTGTGAAACTTATGCCTTGGGCCACTTGGGACATTGTCTAAGTTTTAGGCCTTGGAATTCTGCCCCTATGATGTATCTTAGATTCTTAAGACATGTCTCTTGGCCACTTGATACACGCTGTTAATGGCAAGCATTTGAGTAGTGGATGGAGTTGGTGGCTTGCACCCTGAACGTTTGACCTTGAGAAATGTATACTGCTATTGTTGCCTGATATTCCTTTACTGTCTGCCCTCTGGGGGGGGGGGTTTATAATAGTTTATTGTGACGGATCATTATAGGCTTACTTATTATGTCCTCTACTGATTAGAGAGAGTTTATTTTATAGCTTTAACTAATCTAGAATAGTGATTTGTTGTTTGAGCTTTATTCTACGCCTTGTGGCTGTGATGTCAGTAGTGGCAGTAAAGGGTTTACGTACGCGGGTGCGGTGGATGATGCATGGCATGAACCATGATGAACCATGGGATAAAGATTATGGCATTTAACGGGTGGGTGAATGGATGGATACTTGAGATTAAATGGTTATGCCCTTTTTATCTTTACAGCAGTTTCTGGGAAGAGAGAAAGGCAGAGAACTATACTATCTCTCTCTCTCTTTCTTTTTGTAGCACCCTGTGGACACATATTTGTAACCATGGGTTCTATTGTTAACGCTAACGCCCTAATCTTTATAGCCACTTCTGCGACTATGACGCCTACTTCTACGCCCTGGTCGATGGGAAAATACGCCCTGAAGACTCTACCTGTGACCCCTTGCTTGTCTAAAGCTACGCTATATGGCTCTATCTCCTAGCTAACAACCTAGTCGCCAAAGCCGCTGGTCTCTCAAGCGTGGCAGACTCTTAGTTGCCTGCAAGCTTAAGCGAGCGGTGTTCTGCTGGACCTTGTTGAGGCCAAGATGCTAACGTACGGCGACAAGTACTGGCGATACTTGTAAGACAAGCAGGACGTCATGTCGCAGCTGCATCCGAGAAGCAGTATACCCCTTGCGCCTCATCATGGTGAGAAAGGATGGACAAGAATCCCACCTGTTGCCGACCACTGAAGCTGACTCCCTAAGCGCTGTAGTTCCTCACGCGATGCCTGTTATGGCTGCCCTAGCATCTAAGACTGCCCTGTCTTAGCGTTGCCCCCAGCCCATCCGACTCTATTAAGGGACAGATCTACCAGGCGTCTGACACCATCGAGACCGATACCTGGCTGTCCTAGGAGTAGAAGACGGCGTACGCGAACTGGCCGCTGAACAGCAGCACTAGATGTTGAAGACGGTGGCCTGACGGTTTGAACGCAGCGTCAGGCTGGCGAAGCTTAAGAGCTACAAGGACGAGGACACTTAAGGTGTTGGCATTGAGGTTAATGTCCCCAAACTCAAGCAGCTAGCCACACTGACTTGCAACGCTATTGGAAGGTACCCTATGTCTCCTGTGGGCCTTGATTTGTTGTACCCTCTCCTGTTAGTTTAGTGTGGCTTTACGCTAGAGTTTCTATGAGCTGGCGGATGGGACTTGGCATTGACTGTCTTGTATGCAACACCACCTTTCTACCCACCGCAAATTGATCTTGCTAAACGTTTCTTTAGCCCTCTGTTGGCTTGTCTGGACGGTTTGCATGCATCGATATAAACAGAGCCGAATGGGCCCTATGGGCCTAGGAACATTAGCTGCTGAAGTCTAATAGGCAACTGCTTGGCGGACGTAGTTGACTGTTGGCCTATAATGTCTCAACGCTTACCTGCTTCTCTTGATTTGTTTGGCGATTCTGACGGCGTCTATTGTGCGGCCAGTGGATAATCCTTTGTTGTCCCCTATTGCTGTATCCTTGAATTTATTAGGAGCAAACAGTATTAAGGCTCCGCTTGACTGCGCTGCTGGCAAGCTTATTATAGCTGCTGTTGACTTGTACAAACGGATTACTGAGGCCTACAACAACATTGGCGCTGCCTACCTAGGAAACATTAACAGCCTTTATGGCGCTATTTGGCCTAGCGCCTAGCCATTTATTCCCCTTGCAACCTCCCCTGCGTTGACGCCCTTGGCTTCTTCTGTCGATTTGTCTACGTCCTGGGCATTGGCGCCTGTCACGTTACCCAGCTATTCTACCCGCGAGAGTTTACGACTGCGAAAAAAAAGACCAGTAAGCTTCCCTACTGCTGCTGCTACAGTCTGTTGCATTAGCAGCATCTAAAACCTATTTTTTAGTCTATACACTTATACTATATAAATATAACACCTATATAAATTTAGGTTTTTAGGTAGTAAAATACAAAATCTATATTTTAGTAATATTTAATAGTTATAATTTAAAGATATATAATAATAATAATAATAAAGGTATTTAGACCTATATAAAGGCTACTTATTAGTAATAACCTCTTCTTTATATATAATAGCTAGCCTACTAAATAACTAAGTTACTAAAGTTATAAAAGTAGTCTTAGACACTAACTATATATTTATATAAGAAAGTAAAGTTTATAAAGTTTATAAAGTCTATAAAGTGTATAAAGTCTATAATAACTCTTATTATTATTTTTTACTATTATTATAAAATAAATATACTTTTAAATAAGGGAATTAATATATAAATATAAGGAATTAATATATAAGTATAAGTCTTATATAGATATAAGATATATACCCTCTAATTAGTCTAAAAAATAAATGTTAGTATAACTAAATTCTCTTAGACCTATATAAAGTAGCCTTTCTTTTCCTATCTCTCTTTATAATATTCTTCTTTATAATAAGGTTAATTTATTTAACCTTAGGTTTATTTATATTATTTACTTACTATAGCTTTATAATATATTCTATAGTATAAAATATAACTATTTTATTTTTCTACTTTAGGTTATATCTTAAAAAAGTAACTAGTAATTAATTATAACTTACTACTATTATCTAGCTACTTACTATTATTTTCCTTCTTTAAAAATAGTTATCTTAGTATTAACTAGTTCTATAAAGCTAGTAATCTTAAGGGGTAATATAAACTTATAGCTAAGCTTTTATTAAGCTTACTATAAGATATATAACCTTTTTTATACTATAAACTATATTACTTTAGTATAAAGCTAATATTTTACTTTACTTACTATTTCTTTAAAAAGATAATAAAAACTTAGTAAACTATTCTTTTTTAACTTTCTCTAGAGTATAATTTCTTTTTTCTTTATAAGTAGTCTTAATAACTTCTTTATTTTACTATATAGTAGTTTAATAGTACTTTTAACTTTATTTAATAAGTTATTAAGACTAATTAGTAACTAATAATAGTATTTCTCTAATAATAAAAGTATATTTATTAATAATAAAAATAATAAAGTCTTTAAGCTAATTTACTACCTTATTTACTACTTTAATAATAATTTTCTCCTAAAAGTAAAGCCTTTTTTTAAACTATAGCCTTTTACTATACCTAAAGTAATAGATCCTCTTTTTTTTATATATAAAATCCTAAATCTACTAGTTCTTAGTAATCTAGAATAAATCTCTAATACCTTCTTTAATTAAGTTAATACTTTTATAAAGGCTAATAAATTTAGTATTATAAAGTAGTATAAATAT